TGTACTGTTATGAATTTTTTGTTGTGCTATAAAAGATCTTTCTTTTGATGAAAATTCGTTATCTGTAGAAAATACAGTCCGAACGTTATTAACGATGTTAACTCCTGGCGGCAATTTTAAATCGTAAAAACTAAGAACCTTTTTAAAACTATATTGAGTACCAATAATTAAAATAATTATGATATAAGTTAAGTTTTCAGAATTCTGAAGATACTGAATTATTTAAATTGATACAATTTATTACTAATAATATTAAATAAAATTTGATATTACCGGATTTATTGTATATTGGAAAATAAATATATGTACTTATGTAAGTTTTAATTTTGCGAGTGCATAACTTGGCGGGCGCATATTTGCTGGCTCCCCCGCGTCCCGCTGCACTGCACTCAGTAGTAATTTCAAAATCATCACAACATTTTTCCAATCTTTTTAGAAGCNCAAAACAATAAGACTACTTTGCAAAAGTTCTTGTAACGGGTTTTCATTAAATACATTTTTGAATTCTTTCACTTTTATCCAGAACTCAATTGTTGTATAGATGTGTTCATTTGTATGTTAAAAGTTTTCGCCATTGATTTTCAATAATTAGCTCTGTGTGTTTCCGTACGAGTTTGTAATAGTTCATACCCTTAATTACAAGTTTTCATCTTTTGGCGTACGTAAAAACATTGGGTTGCAAGAGTTTGAAAATGTTTGTCCCCTAAACTCTTGCCCCAGGGCTACAAGTTTTATTTTTTATATAAGCTATCGCTACATTAATTTTTTCGCGCACATAAATTACAGATATCAACGAGCTAAACCTGCCTAAAACATGCGCCACTGAGTTTCCTGATCCAAATGACTTGCTCAACTTCAAGCTCACAATTTGCCCTGACGAAGGTTTCTATAAGAACGGTCGTTTTGTTTTTAGTTTTCGCGTGGGGCCCAACTACCCTCACGAACCACCAAAAGTTAAATGCGAAACGCAAGTCTACCATCCAAACATCGATCTGGAAGGAAATGTCTGTTTAAATATATTACGAGAAGATTGGAATCCAGTGCTGACCATCAGTTCGATTGTTTACGGATTACAATTTCTCTTCTTGGTACGTTAATTTATGGGTAATATTTTCAAAAGAATTCTTTTACAAATCTCTGTATTTTTCAGGAGCCTAATCCCGAAGATCCATTGAATAAAGAAGCAGCCGACCAATTGCAATCAAATCGCGCGCTATTCGAACGCAATGTTTTAAGAGCGATGCAGGGCCATACTGTGGGCGATACCCAGTTTGAGGCATGTCTCAAGTGATATCGAGAATCAACTCTTTAATTTTAGGATTAGCGTCTGCCTTTTCGACTTAAATTTACATTTACGTTTTGGTGGGCGTTTTTATAATAATTTAATTTTCAACAATAATTAAAGAAGAAAAGCAGGAAATGTATGTGGCTACATTTGATTTGATTTTGATTTGCACAAGTCGGAGTAAAAGCATCAGCTATGCTATTGCAAATTGTCGCCAGTCTCCAGTCGACGTCGAAAAATTAGATATTTTTAGCTTTTGCAAGAGGGCAGCTACGGCAGTCAATTGATATTCTGTGTTGACCAAATGAAACTAAATGGATAATTGTGATCTACAGTGACGAACAAAAGTATTGGCACAGTGAATTTTTCGCCATAT